CTATAAATTGGAAGAAGAGTAAAACTCCGTAGGTATAGAAAATGCGCACGTATTATATATGTACAATTGTAGCGGAGTTTGTGACCTATTGTAAGGGATTTTTTCGACATCCCTTACTGCGCCGTTCAACATCGCGTACAGCAGCAGCCGTTGTTCGCCCGTTACTGCTAGCGGGGCCTCGCCAACTTCGCGCGCACTGTTTTACCAATTTAACCATGCACCTCTGGCCTGGCCGATTCGGCCTACGCTTTGGGACTAGCACGAACCTCGATGCCAGCCTAGCATTAGCTAGCTCGCACGCACCGCGTTACCGTTTGCATGTTCGCACATAAGTATTCGCTCAATGCCTTCGCTCATACTTTGTACTCGTTTGACACCTAGTGCAATCCTCGCTATCTCGTTCCATTGCACCCGTAACACTTAGTAATCAGAGCCACTTTCCTTTCGAACCGCGCATCTCTGCACCCAAAGAAATCAACTTTTGATTTTTACTCGAAGGGGCTCACGCCCCTTAGCCCCTAGGAGCCGCTGTCCTCGCGTTCTCTCGTAAACGCGTGCAGCCACGACTGCGCCTGGAACTAAGATGAGCTGATGCCCTTCTGAATGGCCGAGCACATCGACGTCACGATGCTCACGCAGGAACGCCTCAACGAACTGCTGTAGAAGCTACGCAAAAGTTCCGAAGAAGTCGCGGCCCTAATGGCAGAACGAACGTCCCAGCAAAATGACGTACGACCACAACAAGCACAATCACAGACACAAGGCACACACGGACAACTTGCATGACAGACATCACAACATGGGAGTGTGGGGCAACCCTCGAGCGCGGCTAGTGATGGCGTCGCCCGCAACGACGGAGACGACGACCACGGCGCGACACATTCCGAAGCGGCGAACACGGCCAGGAGCCATCCTTGAGTCACAATTTCGGTGCCAACCGGCGAGTCAGCACTGTCGTAGCCAATGCCTCTCAAGCCACAACGTCCGCGTTGCTTCGATCCCAGTTAACAGGGTGGTCCTACCGTTCAAGCGTGTATATTCACCATGAACGTCTTCTTCGATGCAAACTATGTCTCGGAGGATTCGGCAAAGATTCGTTATGCCGTGTCGCTGCTGCAAGGACCCGCAATCGATTGGTGGCGCGTCATCGTCACTAAGCCAACGGACTACGCGACTCTACTAACACGGGAAAGACAAACTGGACCCTGGGCGCCGTCGTATTTCGTAGAAGTGCCCCGGTATCGTACGTGGGACGCGTGGTGCGCAAGTCTGCGCACGAGATTCGAGCCAATCGCAGCTTCGATTGCGGCGCGTCTGAGGCTCCGCACTTGGTGCCAGCTCAGTTCTGTCTAGGACTACACCAGCGGGTTCCTGGCACTGTATGAGCACGTAGGCTACATGCTACATTGGCCGCTACATCGGCGGCCTGAAACACGATATCGCCCAGGGAATTCAGCTCCGCAATGTCGCTGAATTTCAAGACATACTCGCTATGGCAGAGAAGCTCGACTTCTTACGCCGACCGAGACCGGGGTCCTACGGCAGCAGCAGCAGCTGGGGACATCGGCCTCGTGGGACGAACGAGCACGCCACGATACGCGCCGTCGCCGCGAATGCTGCTGCCGCACCATTCAAAGGGCGCTGCTTCGCGTGCAACAGGCCGGGACACCGCAAAAGCGAATGCCCGGAAAATGCTACGGGAAAGGGGGAAGATGAGCAACAGAAATAGACCAAGCAGTAGGGAAACGCTGGGAGTCAGTAGTAGACGGGCCCTCTATTGACAGGTCACGCCGCTCGCCCGACCCAACCGACCCTCACAGGATGAAATGCGTCGTAGCGGCAGGAGCTGACGTGTACGCGGTTGACATTCGGGAACCCGAGGCAGCAGACAAGGGGAGTGTTTTATAGAAACTGCTTGCCGACGTACCAGACGACGTGGCAGCGTTACTGAAGCGGTACAGTGGGATTTTTTCGGAAAACTTGCCAACAGGAATGCCACCTCTGCGACCGTACGACCACACGATAGAACCGGAACCGAGGGCACAGTCGATAGTGCATCGACAGTTCCGACTGACCCAACCCGAACTGGATGAACCGTGGAAATAGTTAGACTACCTGCTCGAAAAATAGTTAATTCGCCCGAGCTCGTCACCCTTCGCAGCACTGATTTTGTTCACACCGAAGAAAGACGGGGGTTTTCGCATGTGCATAGATTACCGCGCACTGAACCGAGTTACCATCAAGTCCCGTTACCCCATCCCACAAGCCGACGAACTGATCGATCAACTGCGCACAGCCCGGGTTTTCTCGAAATAGACCTTCGAGGAAGCTACCACCAGATCCGCATCAACCCACCTGACTGCCCAAAAACCGCCTTCCGAACCCGCTACGGCTCTTTCGAATACACCGTCATGACATTCGGACTGACCAACGCCCCCGCCACCTTTCAAATGACCATGAATGAAGCTTTCCGCCCGCTTTTAGATAAGTGCGTCATCGTCTACTTAGACGACATACTGATTTACAGCCCAGACCAAGCGCAACACCTATAGGATATCGGAGTCGTTTTCAAAATGCTGAGTGAGAACCGGCTACTGACCAAAGAATCTAAGTGTGAGTTTCTACAGGACAGACTGGAGTTTTTAGGCCACATTATTTCAGCCGACGTAGTGGAAATAGACCCGAAAAAAAACGCGATAGTTCAAGCATGGTACGCCCTGACAAATTTGACCGAGCTGCAGAGCGTCTTCGGGTTTGTCAACTACGTGCGCTGGTGTTGGACCTGCTGAGGAGGGGGGTTGAGTATATGTGGGGGGAGAAAGAGCAAGCCGCCTTCTCGACCCTCAAGAAAAATTTGTGCTCGCCGCCCGTACTGCACATCGCCGATCCACACCGCCCGTTCGAACTGGTCACCGACGCAAGCGACATTACTGTAGGAGCAGTAATTTTGCAGGACTTCGGGAACGGCCTTCAGCCAATCGCGTACGAGTCCCGCAAGCTTCACCCACCCAAACAAAACTATCCGATACACGACCGCTAGATGCTAGCAATCGTGAACTCGTTCAAAGTGTGGCGATGCTACCTTACTGGAGCCGACGTGACAATACGGACAGACCACAGATCCCTACAGCACCTCCGCGCCCAACCAAATCTCAATCCGCGACAGATTCGCTGGTTGGACTACTTGGAGTCCAACTTCCACTGCACTGTCACGTACAAGAAATGAGCGTCAAACATCGCTAAATGCACTCACCCACCCCACCGCCCAACTTCACGCCATCCTACTCGCCCAAGCCAACTCACTATTAATAGGCCTATTCACCCACGGATACCACACCGACCCATTCTTTACGACCGGAAATTGACAGCAACTGACAGAACCCGAATATTTTACGTAAAAGTCGGTACCAATTGCATCTGAGTACCAGTGTATTCACTGCTGAGAGAACTGTCACTGCAGGAGGCACACGATGGGTTTACCTCGGGACATTTATTGAATTTGCTGGGTTTTTTTTTTTTTTTTTTTACCACCGTTAGAGCAACAGCGTTGCCAGAACGCTGACCTGGGCAAGTCAATCTGACACGACGCAACTTCTTGAAACGGCTG